GAAAGAAGAAAGGAAAGGAAAGGAAAGGAAAGGAAAGGAAAGGAAAGGAAAGGAAAGGAAAGGAAAGGAAAGGAAAGGAAAGGAAAGGAGCCATGAATTGCAATGTGGTTTATTGAAGACAAGTCTCTATAAACTTTACAATTAGAGAAAAATAACTATTTTAAGTCTCATTTCTACTATTAGCTGTGTGTCTTAAGGGAAAATATTTAATCTCTATAAGCCACAACTTTCTCATCAAAAAAAAATTTTTTTAGGTTAATGAGATCTCATTTGTGTGGTGCCTGGTATCTCAATAGTAATAGAACTTTGCTGTTTGCTGGGTTTTGTTATTTTTCTTTTCTTTCTTTTTATTTAATGGAGTGTGCTGGATATCTCTATAATTTTGTTCAGATGACTACAGAATCTGGAAAAGCTGTCACAGCTACTGATGCATAGCACATTGCTAAGATTGGTCTATAATTACAAATATATAAATAATTTGAGGTTTGAAAAACTTTAACTGTGCTGTCAAGTTTGGAAAACTGGGGCCAGGGAGATAGTTCAGTAGAATAAGTGCTTGCTTAGCAAGCACAAGGGTCTGAGTTCAATCCCCAGTTCCACAGAAGAAAAATAAAAAGTTTGGAAAAGTTATCCCTGTTTACCATGTTGACTTAGTATTATAGAGCAATTAACAGCCACATTGGTCTAAAAACACTAAACTTATTTTTTCCCCATTTGTACAGGCATAACACACCATGTTAAGTATGTTAAGGTCGTATATACACAGGTTTGGTTACAGAAACTAATGAAGTATTCTCTAAATTATTTATTTAAGACACATACATATATCTTGCAGCATTGCTATGTGGATTAATTTAGATAGTGAGTTATACTTGCCTGACTTGTATAAGCCCCTTGAAAAGCCTAGCTTATTTTTTTTCCATCGTTTTTCTGTCAACGTAGTCAGATACACTAGGCATCGCTTCAATTCCACCTTCTTGAATAACCCTGTCTTGGAGCTATGCCCTGATCCATCTAGAAGGTACGCTGAGGTTGCCTTTGACCACAGTATAGAGGATTTTTCTCATGCCCCAGTAGTGGTGTTCCTTGGGTTAGTCCCTGATTGTGGTGGAGTCTTCCTCTAGTAGCTTCCTGAGATGGTACACAGGAACTTAATTTTGGCCACATTATATGTCTAAAGAGTTGGGGTTTTTTAATGTATTTAGTACAGGGTCTACAGATGGGGCTTGTAGTGAACCTCCTGTTTTTCAGCCTCCCAAGCTCTAGAATTATAGACATGTGCCACCATGTCTAGTCTCAACGGTGTCTCGGTGTACCCCAGGGATGGGGCCAGCATGACATGCTGGGGATCAAACCCCAGTCTCTCCATCTGCCTAAGCAGGCACTTCAATCTGCTGAGCTACCTGGCCAGCCAAAGAGATATAATATTATTTATAAAAGTGATATTATATATCATTTTTATACAGATTTCAATAAATTTTTCAGACCATTTATTCAGGATCTGGACAAGTAAAGAATTTTTAGTGGAAATAACTTATCTTCAGATATTGAAGGTGTCACTTGATGTCTTCTAGCTTTTACTACGGAGAAGTTCAATGCATTTTGATTATAGCAGTTCTGTTTTTCACCCTCTTTCTCTCCGGAAGGTTTTCAGTTTTCTTTTTACTACAGTATTCTAAAACTTCTCTGTTGTCTGTTATTTGTTTTACTAGGCACTTGCTAAGTCTTTTTCAATATAGAAATATATATCCTTCAACTGTGGAACTATTTTAAACTTTTTTTTTCCCGGAACCGGGGATTGAACTCAGGCCCTTGCGCTTTCCAGGGAAGCGCTTATTCCACTGAGCCACCTCCCCAGCCCCTTAAACTTATTTAATTATTCTTTTCCTCTCTTCTCTCATGATAAACCCTTATCATTCAGATGTTTGAACACCTACTGGTTCTTCAGGGTTTTTTTTTTTTCTTTTCTTCTTGTTCCTTCTATTTTTCATCTTCATGTCCTTTTACTCCACTTACTTGGAGACTCATCAACCTCATTTTCTCAGTCTTCCACTACACTTTTTAAATTTTGATAGCATTTTTAATTCTCATGCTCCTTTTGTTCTATGATTGGCTCCTTTGATAGATGTCTGTGCTTTTTAGGAGGATGAACTATGTTAACGCTCAGAATGTAAATGATAGGATTTTTATTTCATTTTGCATTTTTCAGTATAGTCTTTCCTCTATGTTGCTGTTCTGCTTGTTTCAGTCTTTGTATTTTATATCTGATGTACTGTCACATGCCTGGTGACCATTACATGTTTTCTCAGACTGAAGATAAATCAGCAGTCATTGGGGAGTCCTGTGAACATGGATAAGGCCATTTACAGGTTTCACTACAAGGCAAACTGGAACTAGCACTTCATTGGGAAATCCCCATTAGAATCTTTGGGTGTGTTCTCAGAGGCTGGTCAAATTCTACATGGAAGTTTTTTCTACTTTCCTTCTTTGAATGTATAAGTTTGGCTAAAGTGTTTGGAAAACCCAATGGGAAACTGTTATACATGGAATCTTTCATTTAGTCCATGCATTTTTGATACAGAATGACCACCATCATCCCATTTCCTATTGTAGCTGATAGTTTTCTATCCCCTACTCCAGAGACCTGGGTGACTGTTATTGTGTTGTATTATGCTGTGTTGTGTTGTTTTGCTTTGTTTGGAAAGTCATTGTTTTGTTTTGGATTTTGGTTGGTTTTTGGATTGGTTTGTTTTTGCTTCCCAGAGAATAAGCCATTAGCTTTCATCTAGAGTGGGGAGGCAATACAATAGGGGAAACCTAGAAATACCACTTTTTATACAGATTTCAATAAATCTTTCAGATTTGAGCTCCACCCTCCACTTCCAGGAGCCCATGGTGCCCATGGGGTGAATCAAATTACTTCTCAGTTTTCTTTACTGCTGGGTCAGGCTTCATCTTTCTCAAGTCTGCTAAATCCATCTGTCCATCTGCTTTCCAGCTACCAAAATTTACTTGTTTTTGTCATCTTTCTCATCAATGTCTTTAGATATTTCTGTTGTTTCCTCTGTTCCCCTAACCTCTATTCTGGTTTAAGTGAGGTTTATGAAGAGAATGGTATACAATAAACATGTTTACTATGCAACATTTAACCAGAAGTCCTACCAGCATAATTTTCATGCAGCCAAACTCATGTTCAAGTCAGGAAAAAAATATCTGCTTTCTTTTTTCCAGAAATAATCATTACCAGTGCAAGCCTGAAACTGACATGAATGTTTGTGTCTTGTCAGCTATTCTTATATCAGAGGCAGAATTCCAGTGGGCCTCAGCCATGGGCCACGGGCCCAGGTTTCTATACCTAACAACAGTGAGCTGTGTTCTCAGCCCCAGTGGCAAGTCTATCAGAAGTTTTGTGATGATACTAACAATCCCATCTTCCCTTCATGACACAGAACTTAAAAGAACTGAAATAGTGATCATCCAATAACAGTTTCATTGGTTGCAGATGCTATGACAGGAGGGAGTCTAGGGATTCTATTTTTGTTAGTGAAAATTTCTGGTTGTAAACAGAAGAGCTGAACAGAAGAAAAAGATGACTAGTTTATTATTATGGCTATAGAGGTGTTTATATAGTAGCCCTTTACCCCAATAAAATCAGCCACTGAATGAATGTCTCAGATTTTCCTGACTTTGCACACTTGGACAATGTTTCATTTCTCAGTCTCACCTTCTTTTCCGGATAATGAGCATGATAATTATATTATCCTTACAAGTGTATTTGTAAGCCAACATACATACGTGAGAAACTGTTCCAGAATACTAGTAGTGGTCACACTAAGTGACATGATGGTATTGATAGAGTGTTGCTCCTTTTTCCGTCATGTTTCAGACCTTTTATAATGTGCTTAAATTACTTTCATAATGAAAAATATTAATAGAATATGTGGACTAACCAGGGGAAGTTGGCACTATTGAGAACTATGCAGCTACTGAAAGGCAATAGAGGGGTGGAAGAAGAGGGCAAGAATTGCTTCCATTTTTTTAATTCTTTTTGATATATCACTGAGCCTAAGAACATCTATTAAATGTGTTTCCCTTGGAAATGTTAGTATTACTCACCTCCAACTTTATTGGGGACTTATTAACTGAAGTAACGCCTGGAATCTTAAGAGATGAGAGCTTTTTATAGGAATGAATGAGGTGAATCCTACATGAAACTGCTGAGTGATACTGAGGAAATACTGAGGCAACTGGGATTAGAAGGAAGGAAAGAAGGGGGAGGGGAAAGGTGGGGGAGGAAAGAGAGAGGGAGGCATAGAAAGGAAATTTATATTGTTTTTGATTTCTGTTTTAGAAAGTTCAAAATTACAAAGCACAGGCCGGAAACAGTCAGTATCAAGAAGCCTGAAACACCTATTCCATTCCTCAAACAAGTTTGTGAAGACCTTAAAACGGTGGGTCCTGAATAGTTTTTTCAGGAAGGGTTAACTTCTCAGGAATTAGTTGGTTTTGATTCTGAGTGGAAACTTGGTAGAAATTTCTTTTATATCAAAGGAATGAATCCTGAGAATCTGGACAAGTCAGTAACTTCTCTTGAGTTCTAGCCAGTGAACTTGTGATACATGGCAGGAATATGTTCCTATGTATATTTTAAATTTATATATTTCATGTCCAAAAAAATAGATTTTTTTCCCAGTCTTGAGTTTGAAAGAGGAGACAGTTGAGGACAATTTTTAAATTTTGTTTTATCTTTATAGGGGACTCTACATAGCTGTTATATTTTATTACAAAGACAATATGTTAGTCACAAATGAAGATCAAATACCAATCGTAGAAGTAGATGACTCTCACACCAGTTCCATTACACAAGATTTCCTGTGGTTCACAAAGGTATACTGAGTTTTTATTTCATTATTTCCCCATTTCACACCAATCTTACAGCACATAAATCTATAAAATCTTAATTGAAGGGTTTTCAGTGATTAAAATTTTGGGGTAGAAGCAAATTATCTCAAGGGTCCCTTTAAGCTCCAATGTGCCCTGTCATTATACTTACACTTACACACACACACACACACACACACACACACACACACAATGCCTATACTACATTTTCAAAGAAAGAAGCTTGCTTCCTGTCAGATTGTGTCTCCAGTATTCTGAATTATAGGATCATTTGGCAAAGACTAAAATGTGGATCTGACTGTTTCATTAGCATTCAGATCTTTTTCCAATTGGATAGAGATCAAAAAGTTATTTCGTGTGTATCTGAAAATGGACTGGAGAACAAACATCAGGGGTCAAGTTTCCTTCTCCTTGCTTTGCTTTGATGCCATAACCTAAATCATGCACTGGCTTGGACAATGATATGACCTTGTGACTTCTCTTGCAGCTGTCTTGTATGTGGGAAGACATAAGGTGGCTGAGGCAAAGTGTACCCATCTCAATGTCCTCATCCACAGTGCTGCAAACCCGGCAGAAGATGCTTGCTGCCACAGCCCAGCTACAGGTGAGGGGCCAAACCCTTGGGTTTTGTTGTTTTTTTCTTAAAACTTGGAAAGTTCTGTTTCCAGTTATACCTGGAAAGGAAAAGGGTAAGCTCTTTGCTCTTGCAGATCTTTAGGCACATGAAAGCTTTCTGAACAATTTAGGTATATCTACTCATGTAGTGAATTTGTCCCTTTGGCATGAACAGGAAGTGAGGGGATTCAAGCCCTGGATTTTACCACTAATCAGACATCCTGGCTCTCCATAAAAGCCTCAGATTCATCGCATAAAAAATACCAGCAGCTTGATTGGGCCACTGGAAGGCCCTTTGCAGCCAGGCAAGGGAGCATCTATGAGCATGTAGAGGAGACAGAGACCAGAAGATATACAAAGGAGTCTCTTAATGGTACTGCTGTGGATAAAACATGGGAATTTATGTACGGGGGGGGGGGGTTTGCTAAGTTATAAAAACCAAAGAAAGCAACTCTTAAGAGTACTGTGAGGGGGCCTGGGCCTAGCTCAGTCCTTTAAGTGGCTGCTTCCACAAAGCTGTCAGCCTCAGGTGGCTGGAGTTCGAAACTCACAACTCTCCCGCTGGCTAAACGTGCCCTGAAGGCATGCGAGGAACAAAAAAAAAAAAAAAGAGTACTGTGAGGGCCAGCCAAATAGCTCAGTAGATAAAAGCACCTGCAAGCAGGTGTAGGGGCCAGGGATTTGATTCCCCAGCCTACCGTGCCAGCCCCACTCCCGGGGGACACTGAGACAGCAACTTTGGGTGTAGTGCACATGCCTGTAATCCCAGCTCTTGAGAGGCTGTAAACAGGTGGATTACTATGAGTCTGATCTAGTAATGAGACCCTGAACACCCTGTGGACCTTTCCCTACAAAAATACAAAAAAAAAAAAAAAAAAAGAGTACTTTGAATCCTGTATGTATTCACCACTCGCTTTTATTAATAAAATCAAATCAGGTATCCAAGTCCTGCAGAAATCTGGGTAGGTTGCACAACTCCTCTTGGAAATGGCACTGATTACTAACCAAGTTCTTCTGGGGTTTCCTGTCATTGTTTTTTTGGTATGAGCTTAATTTGTGGATATTAGTACAGAAAAGCATCTATTACATGAAGTTGGGGTTCTAAGAACACAGCCTTTGTCAGTGATGTGTATCTACCTACCCAGATGGCAGTTACATGTTACATCAATTGTAGAAGTTTGCTTCTAAGTAAACTGTGTTTGGCCAGGACATACCAGCCATGGTACAAAAATGTCATAATCATAAAAAAAATTTGTACAGCTCTACCCCTGCCTATAATTTTGAGAATTTTGTTTCTCAAACTCCTGCTGAATAATAATGCAACACTGTGTGCTAATAATAATTATGGCTAATATAATCAATTCTGAAAGATTACTTTTGGTCCCTTATGCTATATTCCAGTATGAAGGTAATTTACTGCTTTTACTGGTGTTAAGACATTTTAGCAAACTTCTCTACACTGCACTTTTTATTGCAAAATCTCCTTCAAGTCAAGATCTTTCTGGAACTGGGCCATGATTACTGTTGCTAAATTCCTAACACTCCATCCTTTTATCACTGACCTACTGGATTAGATCACACCACTAACCCTCATGTTGCTCTTTGTTTAGGACCAAGTCCATTCCCAGGAGACTTATACCCCTTACTGGACCCTCCCATCAGCCCATTGTATATCTGAAATACGCCAGGATCACAAACTGAACAATCTTAAATTTTCATGCAAGGTTCTTTATCACGTGTTCATTACAGGCTTCCTAGAACACTGCCATCTGACACCAGTAACTTAAGAAGGATCAGGCTGTTATAAGCCAGTGCAGTCAGATGCTGAACAATGCCATGATGGCCATTGTGACCCTACTCCATACTCCCATAGCAATAGATTTCCTTGGCTTCTCAGTCTATTGATCCCTTCATTTTTCCTAATGCAATACCCACCTTATGAGGCTCTTTTCTTTTTTATTATGCTTAGATTCCTTCAATCACCACAGTAATTCCTTGAAAAATATCCTAGATTCCTTCAATCACCATAGTAGTTCCTTGAAAAATATCCTAAATTTTGTCCCTCCATATTATTTATTTAGAAAAATCTTAAGTCTAGATGAATATGCCTATAGTAAAGTAGTTGTACTTTGTGCAAAAAATCACACTGAGCCAAAAGGTTGACTGGCTTTATGTTAAACCTCATGACTACAATTTTCATATGGAATGTTAGCTAGAAGTACCATTCCATTTCTCTAGTAAATTTTCTTTCTCACACTGAAACTATTTAAAACCTTCTCCATTTCCCTACACCCTTTCTTCCTTTTCTCCAGAGTCTATTCCCAGACTGTGTTGCCTTCACTGTCTAATTCACTAAAAAAATATATGGGAATGGAAAAGATTTTTCCACCACCAAATTTACAAACATCCCTGTATTGACTCCACCCACTCCCGTCTGCTATTCCAACAGATTAGTTCTCACTTCCACCAAAAGCTCATCTCTCCACACTTACTCTGAATACCATCGTTTTCTTCTCAACTTTATTTTAAAACACTCAAGTATCTCCAATTTAATTTCCCCAAATTCCTCTCGGTGCCACACAAGCCCTCAGCTACCAAGCAGTCTCTTCTCCACCTTTCACTCCAATTCTTCCAGTTACCTCCCTGTTTCTTGCCATTTATCAGCCCTCTGGTTTTTCTGATACCATGTTTATAAAACTATAGTCCAAGTCTTCAGTAATGAGACAGAGCTTCAGAGTTGCTCATTTGCATGAATGCTTGGGAGTGCAGTAGTCCTAGATCATATTAGGTGAAGATGGGAAGCTGTGTTACAAACAAGAGACCTTTCTGGTAAACAACCTAAAGAAATTTCAGGAAGAAAAAGGCAATTCCAAATACCCTAGCAGTTGGATGTGGCGAGGGCCTTTTATCATTCTAAATAAATGTTCACCTTTTTGTTGTTTTTTTGTACAGGGTATCGCTATGCAACTTAGACTCGTAGTGATCCTACCACCTCAGCCTCCAATGCTGGGATTACAGTTATAAGACACCACACCTGGCCTCACATGCTATTTTTTTTTTCTGTATTTTAGGGAAGGGTCTACAGGGTATTCAGGGTCTCACTATTAGATTGGACTCATAGTGATTCTCCTGTGTACAGCCTCCCAAGTGCTGGGATTATGGGCACGCGCCACCACGCCCAGTCTCAATCCCCTTCTCAGTGCGCCCCAGGGGCGAGCCAGCACAGCACACCCTGGGATCAAACCCCAGCCCCTGCCTCTGCTTGCAGGCATTTTAATCCACTCAGTTATTTGGCCAGTCCTTCACATGCTATTTTAGACCTGTGTTCTAGCTCTCTGCCTTGCTAATTCCTATCTATCCTTCAGATCTCAGCTTAAGTTTTTCTGCTTTCTCATATTTCCTGATTTGCTGAATCACTCCAAAGGTGCCTTGTAGCTTTCATTCAAGACAATGATTCTAACCCCATTAATAAATAATTTTTATCAATATCTGTACAGTGATCCATGTGGACTATGAATTTCTGAGTTTAAGAAATACATCTGTCTTGGGTACTTCTATAACACCAGTGTTTGGCATGTGGAAGACTCTCTGTACGTACTGTTTGCATAAATAAGTATATTTATCAGTCTCATATGGAGTACCCTCCCAAAACTACACTTGAGGAAAACTATCTGGCAAAACGGGAAAGTAATCCCAGAAATGTGTCCTGGACCACAGCTACAACCTGGACATTTCTCCAGCCCTGCACAGATTAATCATAATCTGGTGGATATTGCCTCCAACACAGCCCTCATTAAAAGCATTAGCACTATTAGGCATTCTGTTTCTCCTCCATGTTTCTACTTGCCTGGTTAAATCACAGGAATTGCTTTCATTTTTTGTAAGACAATTTAGGGCTCAAACTATTTGTACTTCTCTAGAATTAAGATTTCTAGAGACCCAGTCCTAGCCCAGGCCCAGGACTTAAAGTTCAACATATCAATACTTGATGAAAAATACCTGTTCCATATTATGCCTAAGATGTTTGATATTCAGACGGATAGTGAGGTTAAGCTTAACAGCCTAGGTTGTATGGTAATAACAATAAGCTTGTCTTCTGGATGGTTAACAACCTAAGTTTGCAGACCAAAATTAGAGAAAAAGGAGGGCTGCAAGGAAAGCCAACATTTTGGCCCTAGCCTTCTAAGGTCAATTAAGACTCAGGACATATGAGAACTTGTACTGCTACGTCATGTAACTCAGTACTGTCCCAAGTTTTCTAATCAAGGAGATTATGGGGGTCAAAGAGGAAAGTGATCGATGATGTAGAGTGTGACTAAGGAGAGTCACATGGAGAGAAAACATTCTCTCAGGCTTTCACAGAGAGCACACTGGCCAAGCAATGGCCATGACTCATCCACATGGCTGACACTGACAAAGGATCTACAATCTGAGGTACAGGATCTCAGAATCAATCCTGAGGGGATTTTACTGACCTTATCAGACCCAAAAGCTACAACTCTTGTTGCATAGGTCCTGCTTTACCTTGGTCTTAACCATCCAGCAGAAAAGTATAAAAACAAAATATAAGAAGTAAAGCCATGCTGTTATGTTGAGCTGTAGGGGACTCAGATCAATAATTTCTGACACTGCCAGTCAAGCGGAAGACCCAATACTATGGGCTACTGGACTCTTTTAGAATATTTTGCTGAGCTTACACACCTATAATACTCAAATGACAGAACTTAGTCAAAAAAGGGGATACAGATGAATGTCCATTTTGTATCTGTGTATTCAAAGTGGTTAGGATAGAAATATAGTTACATTCTCTTAATGAATAGAGGGAGTTGTTCTAATGGTATTTGTAAATAGGATATCATGTCCGCATCTTGTACAGCAATTAACCACTAGGAAGAATGTATGCAATGTGTTAAATATTGAAACTGTCCTACCAATCTGATTTGAAACTGTCTCATTGCTATTTGTTTCTCAATAAAATTATGGAAAAAAAAAGAATTAAGATTTCTACAACTATTGAAAGTATGTGAAGGGTATGTGATAAGGTATAGGAAGAAAAAAACTACACAAAAAAGAAAAGTGAATTTATGAATTGGCATATAGTTAATATTTTAGGCCAGTTTGTTAATCTGAATCTTCCATAATGTTCTAAAGAAGATAAAAATGTACCCTAGAGAGCTTAGTTGACAACAGCCTCTCATAAATTCTATCAGTTTATGGCACATTTCACTTTACTCTCTTCTTTCCAGTCTTACAATACTCCCTGACTGTCCCCAATGTCATCCTCCCATATCTTCTCTCAGCACTCTCCAGCCAATTCCCCATACTTGTGTCTAAAACATTGTACGATGGCATTCTCTACCATAGATGCTCTCATTAGTAGCCCAGACATTTTACCACAGCACAAAGGACTTTACCCATGATCTTTCTCTCCTTCCCTTTTGTCCATAGCTCATTGACTTGTCTTCATTACAGTGTATTCCAAAGCCTCCATTTACTCCTTGTTTTCTGTTTTTTATTCTAAACAAGGCCCTCCTTAAAACTGCAGGGAAAGGAAGGCAAGATAGCTCAGTGGACTAAGCACCTGCTTTGTTAAGCACAGGGACCAGGGTTCAATCCTCCATCCTACATGTGGCAGCTCTGACCCCGGGGAATGCTGAGCTGGCCACAGAGTCTGGGTGTGGAGGCATACACCTATAATCCCAGCACAGGGGAGGCTAAAAATAGGAGGATCACCATGAGTCCCATCTGCATAGTTAGACCTTGTACCAAATACACAAAATGAGGGAAAAAAGCAAAATCCTACAGAGATTAAATAGTAAAAGTGGAATAACCACTTTCATTCACTTAGAAGATTAGGTGTGTAGCACTTTGCTAAATGATTTTTAAAATTTTCTCATTTAATTTTTACTACAACCTAATATGAATGCACTATCACTGATAACCACTTCTGTACTTTCTAAAACTGAGGCATAGGAAGGTGAGTTTGTGTTCATTCACACAAACAGATAATAGCATGTATGGATTCCAATCCAGATCTATATAATTCTCAGGACTACATTCTTCCCAATACTTCAGCACATTACCATATGTCAATTGATAAAAATTTTAAATAAAATATCCTCATGTGAGTTTTTGAAAGTAGAAGTCAATTCTGCAGTACTGGTAGTATATTTTAAATTTGCATGTAAATTTATTTGAAAAAAGGTAAAGTAATAATTAAAATTTAGTAGTTAGGAAGAGAAAAAAGTTATGTTAGCATTTGGAGAAAAAAAAAAAAACTTGAGATGAGAAAGCCTGTGAGTGATCAGGAGCCCACCCTGTTTTCTTTATCTCAAGAAAATAGCAGAGGCCTCTTAGGAAAAGAGTGCATATTCCTCTCATAGTGAGAAGTATCTGAATTATTTAATCCTCAAAGATAAAAATAATCTTATAGTGTAGATGATCTTGCTTTAAACTTCCCTCTTCCATAGTTTAGTTTGGATCTCTTTCAACTTCTCACAAACTAAATAAAACTCTCCAACAAAGTACCTCTACCAAGGGCTTCCTTACAGTTTTCTGATCTGTGCTGGCGACAAGCTACATACATTCCTATGTACCAGTAGGCGGACCTTACTCCTTTCTACCTCACAGTATCATCAGCAGGCCCAGACTACCTAACCTGATTACAAGTAGTGACAGGTATTAACATAATCTATCTTTCTTTACAACTTAAAGAACCTTGAATTTGTACCATTGCAATACGACTGCAATTTATTTTCATAAGAATACTCTGCTTTTCCACTGGGCTCCCCCAAAAAACTAGCTGTCCAACCCAACTTGATGTCAGTGAAGAAGTTCAGGATGATTTTAGTGCTTTCTTATTCAGCCCATTAGAAAACTTACCCAAAGAAGACAGTGAACCAGTGACAATAACTATTTAATGAGGCAAGCAGCTCAATCAATGTATTCCATCAGTGTTGGTTTAAAATGAATCATATTCTTCAGTGTCCTAGTGAAATAGAGTATGCCAATTTGGTCCACAAAGAACTGCTTAGCTCCTACTGTATGTGGCAAGCACCATATAAGGGACTCAGGGACATATGAAAAAAAATCATGATCTCACAATCCATGCACCAATTTTATATAGCAAAGCCAAAGACTGATAAAAATAGACACCTCCACAATAAGCAGTAAGGAAGGAAGGAGAGGATGGGAAAGTCTTCCCACAACAGGTGAAATCTGGATGGAATCTCTCAAATGAGCAGGAGTAAGGCGGAGAGCTTCCAATTACAGCAGAAAGGAAAGCCCATATGGCCGTACACAGCAGGTTTAGGAGATTGCAAAAAAACTTTCTTATGCATTATTTAGCTTAAGCCCCCCAAACACTCTATGACAGTAACGGTGAAACTTTTAGAGCTTTCAGTGGTGACAAACAGTCCACTATGGCAAGCATGCATGCCCTAGGTGTGCCACCACTGTCTCTGAAGTATGGATTTGCATAAGGGACAACTGAACTATAATGACCCTTAATTTAAGATGTGAAACTCAGGACCAGAGAGGATAAACAGTCAGTACAACAGTTAATGAATGGCAGCTAGCCCTAAAACTCAACACTAGCACAGGAAAGCTGTAATAGCAGTGGTGTGCTACAGTCAGCTTGGACTGGCTCAGCAGAGCCAACTGTTACACAGGCACACATTCTGGAAGCTTTTTGTCAAAACCTGAGTAGCTTGAACCAACTATGGCAAGGATATTTACACCACAGAGACTGCTGCAAATCAGGTATCTCCCCCTTTTTTCTTATGTTTTATTAGCCAGTTTATCAGCATGACACTGCTTATTAGTAAACTGCCTCTCTATAAAATACTATTAAGGCCTAATAGTACTAAAAACCTTACCCACACCAATTCTCTATAGTTTAGAAACACTTATTAGGAGAAAAATCTGAGTATAATAATTCTACCAAATGAATTGTTATAATATGTTCAGAATTATTCAGAAATTCCTTACTCGTTAGGTCTGTTGTTGTGAGAAAGAGTAAAAGGCTTCAAATGGTCCCTACTTATCAGAGACAATGAGAGTGCTTTTGGACATGCTAATACTGACCAGCTGGCTCTAATTTTAGGTCAGCTTTGCCACTTTTACAAATTCCAGTTCTACCTTTGCTCTCATACTAGCAGGTCATCTCACTAAATAGGACCACCGTGATGATTTATAATTTCTTTAAAACGCAGATATTTGAAGCAAGGGAAAACTGTATCCTACTCATCCAGTGTTCTAAGTTAGATTTATGCCCTGCATTTCTGTTCAACTCCCACTTCTTGTTTGTTTGTGACACTCACTTGGAACCGCCCCCATATTTAATGTGACAGTCTTCCCTTCCTACTTTTTTAAAGTATTGTCTACCTTAACTGACCTACCTTATAAGCAATTTTAGCCAACTTTTAAATAAACAGAAATCCTTGAAATGCAGATAAGTCAAACCAGGCCAATCTCCCAATTAAAGTATCTTGAAAGGCATGTGTAGTCATTTGGGAACCAGTACAAGGTGCTACATTGTCAATTCATTTCTTCATTTTAAACAACTCCACCTCATACCAGCTTAGTGTAGATCTCTTGAAAACTCCACAAGTAGCATACTTGAAATATCAGGCATTTTTCTTTAAAACATCTGGGATTCTCTTCACTGCTAACTGAGGTTTATGTGTTGCTGTGTCTGTGGGTAAGAGATATTTACAGATACTGAATTTGCTTAAAAACACACGATTTGTGTGCCTTTTGCAATAATCTTCACAGACCCATGGCGAAGGCATTTGCTTCAAGTTTCTGCTAAGCATTTTCCTATGATGCCACATATTATAAGGTTCATCTGATAAAACACAGATTTTCAGAAGTCATACAATTATTCACAGTGTCTTTGTGTTACAATGACATTGCTTTGCTTTTATAACTCAGCTACCATTATCTATTTGTTTTTAGAATTTACTTGGAACTCACAACTTGGGAAGAGTTTACTATGAGCCCATAAAAGACCGGCATGGGAACATTCTCATAGTCACCATCAGAGAGGTGGAGATGCTTTATTCTTTTTTTAATGGCAAATGGATGCAGATCTCAAAGCTGCAAAGCCAGAGGAAGTCTTTGTCAACACCTGAGGAGCCAACAGCCTTAGACATTTTACTGATAACTATCCAGGTATGTAGTTTTTTCTGATGTATATAAAATTCAAAACACAATGATGAAAACTCTGTTAAAACATATCAAGAGCCATTTATATGCACATTAATAGAATAGAGAGTTCTCAGACAGGTCATTACTCATGTTCCACACAGCAAAGATGCTATAGTTTATTTTTACTAATCCCTCTCTAGATCTGAAATTCAGAAACCAACACAAATAGTGGTCACTATGAAAATGTTCTAACCAATAAACCAACAAGAAACATTGAGACAAATAATTGAGTAGGCAACCTGCAGAGTGTACTGTAACAAAAATACATTGTACAATGAGTAGATGTATACTTTGTGTGTATGATGCTTTGAACAAAAACATCCTGACACATACTTACTCTTGCTTCTTCTTTACCATACTCTCTTGGAACAAACAGACATGATCAATTCCATTTTAGGAATGAAATAACAGGAGTACAAAGAGGTTAAGTGGCATAGAGCTATATACACTGGCAAACTTAGCAAAGCTAACAAAGCTTCAATGTCTTTCAGCTTTCTACTTGAACAAGTCCTTTTGAGTTCCTGACTGGCACTCCAGTAGTTTCACACTGATAATTTTGTATTCTTTTACTAAAACACAGGACCAGAAATTGTATTGGCTGTGGCCCCTAAAAACATGGACTGTGTCCCATAAGCACACAGCTAGAAAATGGGCAAAACAGAATTCCAACTCAGATTTTCTGACCAGAAGCAGGTCTTTTCTGCTTTGTTACATCTACAGTAGGAGTTACTATTTTAGTGAATGAAGGATGGAGATAAAATGAAGGATGAAAGGTTCACTTGAATATTGAATAACCATTGAAGTTCAAATACCAAGTGGCTCAGATGCCAACTCATGGCCTGGATGACTGCATGGGGACCCAGGGTCATGACTGTTCGTACATACTCAATGCCCCAGCCTCCACATTGTCTTATTCATTTCTGTGAAAGCACAGGCTACCCAATGTTTTCTTTTTCATGGTGAAGGGTAGTTGCATAAAACTCTGTTTAGAATAACAGGCAGAAACACCTACTATACTGAGCCTCATGCAACCAATGGCATACATCCTCAAAACAACCCATCCAGAAAAGCAAGCAAGGAAGGGCCCAGTCATACATAAACAAGCCAAACCCCAGCCTCCATCCCATGGGGCCATGCATGGTCACCCTAAACAGCTTACTTCTAGCTTTCATTCCCAAGTGAGGGGTGCCTAGTGCAATACTGTCACCTGTGCATTACTTGCACTGGACCAAATGAGAACAAAGTCCAACACAGAAAAGGTAAGCTAAGTGGTCAAAGCCAATAACTCTGGATTTAATTCTATTGAATTTTGGTTCACAGCAAATTGATAGAGTGTATGCATATGTGTGAAGGAGTTGGGGGCAGGGAACACAGACACATTTGTAGCTCCCCTCTTCACCTTTTATAACCGCATGCTAAAAGAAACATTAAAAATTATAATAAATTGAGCTTTTACAGGGTGACTAATACACTAATCCCCTATAGGGATAAACTAGGTTCTGGGCTACCTTTGCTCCTAGAAACACAGCACAAGCCCCAGCATGATATAATACCTGGTTTTTCCTAGACTTATTACATTAAAAATGTGTTACAGGTGCAGAGAAATTCCAATCTGGTGAAAGGTTGTTAGAGAAGGAGACCAAAAATAGAGGCAGGATCAGGTTTCCACACAGATCCAAGTGGAAAATTTACCCCCGCTGACTGGCACATTCCTGTTTGATGTCACTCCCAACCAACCCCTTTCTCCCCTCTCTTTCCCCCACTTTTTCTCTCTCCCCACCCTGCTACACAGGTTCTATGCTGGAGAGGAAGTGGGCACTAAACCGCCTAGCACAGGGGCCTAATCCATCCTAGACTCAGGGTTCCACAGCCAGGACTAGGCTCCACCAACTGAACATGAGGGTTGACAGAGGTCTAGATGGAGGCCCAAAGCAGACTGAGTAATTAATTCCCCAGTGACAGGCCACATAGCATTGTCTTTCCTCAGGAAGGAAAGTGGTGACTGTAGAGTGATGACTATCACGCACCATGGTCATTGGAAACCTGGGATTTCTCTTGCTACCTCATAACATGTGATGGATAGCACTCTGGAATCAATCTCACTAGGATATTATTCCTGACCCCATCCTTTCTGTTATGTGACCAGAGCCAGTTGCTGACTTCTTGCCCCTTCTATCACCTCCTCTCAAAAAAAAACAAAACAAAACACCACACATTGGGACAGCCAGGTAGCTCAGCAGCCTAAAGCACCTACTTAGTGAGGTGCAGGGACTGGGGTCTGATCTCTGACTTGCTGTGCCAGCCCTGCCCCTGGGGCACACTGAGATGGTGATTGAGACAGGGCATGGCTGCACATGCCTGTAATCCCAGAGCTTGGGAGGCTGAAAACAGGAAAAACACTATGAATCTGATATGTATAGTGAGACCCTGTAGACCCTGCACTAAATACATTTAAAAAGAAAAAAGAAAAAAAAAAAGAAGAAGAAGAAAGCAAGCCTTACATGAAAGGCAAAACCTTAGAAAAGTAGCACAATAAATGATACTGATTTTTATTATTTTCCCACAGGACACACCCAGCAAATCTCTTCTTCCCTCTCCAATACACCTCTGGTACTGCCCATTCATTCCTGGGAGCCTTTTATTCCTTCATCCACTTTTTCATAACAGTAAAGAGAAGCTGTATAAAAGTTCCATGAGGCACAACAGGTTCTCAAAAGTAGGTTTTCAAAACTCAAACAAAATCTCAATCCACTACCAATCTAAAATAAGCTGTAGGGCCCCAGGGAAGCTTCGCTATCCAATGCTCTTAATTTCCTAACCCTCTCAAATCCTAGGCCTTCAAAACTGGCCCCTCTAATATATCTCAAAAAGAAAAATTCTTCTCATGCTTACCTGGGAAGTACAAGAGAGGCAGTAAAGACAAATTAAGAGTCCCTCTGAGCAAACTACTTGTCGATGAGAGATAGTAAGGACACAGTACTTCCATTAAGAATGCCACTCTTGGAACAGAGTGTGGTAGCGCATGTGTATTAATCCCAGCACTCTGGAGCTTGAGACAGGAGGATTGTTGCAAGTTCAAGACCAGCCTGGGGGGGGGGCGGGCTATAAAAGTGAGTATAAGGTCAGCCTGAACTGCATTGTGAGACACTATCTCTAAAAAAATAAATAAATAAAAGGAGAAATAAGAAAAAGAAGAAGAAAGCTCCTCTCATGTGCTGGGTTATTCTAAACATGATCCATGAACACACCTACATGTCAAGTTTCCTCTGAAAATTAATCTCTCACCTGTATACTTATATTCAATTTTATAAACCTTTGTCACATCTATTATGTAATTTAACTCAAAATCCAATGGAGTTAAGTGATTCTTTTGTATCCAGTCTGCATATGAGGACACAGATTTCAAGTAGAAAAACAGCCAAAGTTATCAGCCAAAACATAGTGGGAGAGGGATAAGGGTTCACATCTTCTGACACCTAGTCCAGTGCTCTTACCATTCTACCATGTTGCTTCATGCACTTCATTCTTTCTGCTCCCTTCTTTAAAAGTCTACCCTAGAGGAGCTGTCTTGCAGCTTGTCTTTGTTTCTCCTCCTATCCTTGTTTTCTCTTCTTCTCCTTGGTCATTCTTTGTTACCGACAGGTAGCTTGTATCTTTCTAATATTTCAGGTTATATTCATTTCAGGTTATATCCAGCAGTGGAACCCTTCTCCACTGCTGGTGAGAATGTAGACTGGTGCAACCATTATGGAAATCGGTATGGAAACTCCTTAGAAAAGTTGGACTGGAAATCCCATTTAAACCAGCTATTCCTCTACTGGGAATTTTCCCAGAGGATCTGAAAACATCATATCATAGTGATATATGTGTGCCCATGTTTATAGCAGCACAATTTGTGATAGCCAAATCTTGGAAACAGCCAAGATGCCCATCACCTGAGTAATGGATGAAAAAGATGGGGTATTTTTATACAATGGGAGTATTATTCAGCTATAAAGAATGAGAAACTCGAAGCCTTTATATTGAAGTGGATGCTCAAAAGAAATGCAAATAGAAAGGTATAATACAACTAAAAGGAAAGCAAGAACTTGAAGACTAGACAATGAAAAGAGAGCAAAGAGAAGAGCTAGGAATCATGACAGTGGCAAGCCATACAGTTATATGTAGAAGATGGGTAAGGCAATGATCCTGAGAATCATCAGAAGATTTTTGAATCTAGAAGTTAATTTGAAAGATTCTCACCCTGACTAACTATATATACAGACACCTGTGAACTAAGCAACTGCACTGAGGATGGCAATTTATAATAGTAGGTTCATGCTTGCAGTGCCTGTCATTCTGGCCTTCTGAATATGGGCTGCTTGTCATGACATGCCAGCTGCTGGCGTGCTATCGCTCAGGTAGATGATTGTTCAAAAAGAAGGGGGTGGTGAATGAAGGCAGGAGACAGGAAAAGGAATGTTGCAGGACTGTCCTGCTACAAGGTTGTATATGGTTAGATTTCTGGACTTATGTGTAAACAAGAATTATATAATTCTTTATGCCTATTTTTAAAAATATATTTTAACTTTTTTAAATGTTTTTTCATCATATTCTGTAGGGACTTAAAGTTTAACATATCAATACTTGATGAAAAACACCTGTTCCATGTTATGCCTAAGACATTTGCTATTCAGACAGATAGTGAGGTTAAGCTTAACAGCTTAGGTTGTATGGTAATAACAATAAGCTTCTTGGGGCCGGGGAGATGGCTCAGGGGAATAAGCCCTTCCCTGGCAAGCACCAGGGCCTGGGCTCAATCCCCGGTTCCGAAAAAAAAAAAAAACAGTAAGCTTCTCTTCTGGAGGGTTAACAACCTAAGTTTGCAGACCAAAATTAGAGAAAAAGGAGGGCTGCAAGGAAAGCCAACATTTTGGCCCTAGCCTTCTAAGGTCAATTAGGACTCAGGACATAGGAGAACTTGT